AATACTGGCAACATGAATTTTGAACGATACGGTCACACTGCATCGATGCTAAGCAATGGAAAAGTCTTAGTTGCTGGTGGATATAACTACGATGGCTACTCGAATAGTGCAGAACTCTACGATCCAGCAACAGAAGTGTGGGCAAAGACTGGCAACATGAATTTTGTACGATACGATCACACTGCATTGATACTGGGCAATGGAAAAGTCTTAGTTACTGGTGGATATAGCGACATCAATGGTTATTCGAATAGTACAGAACTCTACGATTCAGCAACAGGAGTGTGGACAAAGACTGGCAACATGAGTATTGCACGAGCGTCTCACACAGCATCGATGCTGGGCAATGGAAAAGTCTTAGTTGCTGGTGGATATAACTACATCAATGGTTATTCGAATAGTGCAGAGCTCTACGATTCAGCAACAGGAGTGTGGACAAAGACTGGCAACATGAGTATTGTACGAGCGTCCCACACAGCATCGATACTAAGCAATGGAAGAGTCTTAGTTGCTGGTGGAGCGAACTACAATGACCCCTTGAATAATGCCGAATTCTACGAAGACCCCTTGAATAGTGCCGAATTCTACGATCCAGCAACAGGAGTGTGGACAAAGACTGGCAACATGAGTTTTGCACGATACTATCACACAGCATCGATGCTGGGCAACGGAAGGGTCTTAGTTGCTGGTGGACGTGACTTTGACTATTTTAGTAGTGCAGAATTGTATACATGATCAGTGTTAGACTGAAATATCACTTATTATACTGAAACTTGAACTTTTTATTTATTCTCTTCTATTTATCCTTCAGTTATTTGAGAAAGCTATGACTATGATAATGTCTTATTTCTATTTCGAATCCAAGATATGTTTAAAGAAACTTTTTCATTGTCACCCATTAATATATTTAATTTATTTCATAAATATTTCTAATATAAAATCTAACATAGATAAATAGTCTTTATGGAAACTAATGATGTATCTTTGTTAATAATAAATAAATTGACAAAAATGTATTTATTGTTGTTGGAGAAGAAATTGGTTTAATTCGATTTTTAAAAAATTTTCCTTTGAAAAAAAATTCTTTTAAATGTTTTCGAAGGAAACAAATAAATGCAAAACGATATTCCATTTGACAAAAAAGTACATAGTGTAAGAATAACTAAAATAAGAAATTCATAACTTGCTCTTAAACGTGTTTTATTAATTGGTTGTGTTGTCATTATATAATAAACAAATATTCCAGCTGGAATTCCACTTATTAATATACAACTAAGTTGTATAAGCATCCTACGAGTTACAATACCTTCTATAGAATGACGACGTCGTAAAAATTGTTTAAAATTATACCATATTAACATGAATAATATTAATGTTAATAAAGCTGGAAGAAAATAATAACCAATCATTATCCAATAACTACTGTATATATTTATTATTTCATATGAACTTTTACAAATAAATGTTAATGTTGATGATTGAAAATTCGTATAATATATTGGCATTAGAATAAATATTAATAAATAAATAATAGCTGTTAATATAATGATTAATTTTGTTCTCGTACGTATTATTAATCTTTGCCAGTTTGTATTTGGTAATAATATTAAATATTGACAAAGACCTGCAAAACAATTACACATAAAACTAAAACAACCACCTGAATAAGTTAATCAACCATTTATTTTACACCAAAATAATGAATAATTCATTAAATCAATTCCAGTTAATATTCGAATAATAATTGTCCATAAATCAGTATTTATAAATAATAAACTTCCTATTGATGTACTTATTATAAATAATACATTTGGATGTTTATTTAAAGGAGATATATTTATAAATACAAAACAATTACATATATTACCAATTGTACTTATTACTATTATAAATAAACCAAACCTTATATATAAATCATCAGCAATACTGAATATATAAACAACTCGATCAATATCCGATGATATTTTCAATTTTCAAATAAAATCTTCCTTGGAAACTCAATATATCATTAATGATCTGTAAGATAATATACGTAAATTGATGCGTGTGACTTAATAAATACTTAAAAATATAGGAAGATATTATTTCAAATTAATATTAATCGAAATTAATTGCAATAAATAATCTTTATCTATATTAATATTCTTTATTTTTCTCATTCTTAATCAGAAACTTATTCATTATAAAACTCTAATAAGATAAATACATAATGCGTGTTAAGTGGTTTGTTATTTTTTGAAGGTGCTGAATCCTATGTCTTAAAAAGTTTTACTTTAATAATTTTATGATATTTTGAGCTCATATTGATCCATTTTTTGGATAATTAAAATCTTGCCAAACATCATATTTTCAGTTTTTTATATTTGTCCTTTTGGGATAGAAAATAATTCAGACACTCCTGTTAGAATAACTAAAAAGTTACACTTAAAATGATGAAAGACACGCTTAAAATAAGCTCCTTTATCGGCGCTCTCTCTCAATCACAATACGTTTGATAAACTTAAAGTCTCCGTTAGGGATACTATCAGAGTTTCTCATACAAAAAACGATCGTCATTCTCTCGAAAATTCTTTTTTTTCTTCATATAGTCAAGGATGATAATAAAAATAATCGATGCATGAACGATAGCTTATTGTATTTTTTTTCTTTCTGTACAATTTTATGGGGTAATGATCATACATATCGAAATTGTTTCGTTGCTTAGTAAGAATATACTATATGACCGATTCGATGAAGAAGAATTCACTTTTTAAATAGTGAACAAGAGGTTACTATACTTCTCATCGACAACGATTGACCGTAAGTGTTCACCTTTTCATATATTAACATATGAATTAACACTAATATGAGGAATTATTTTTAATTTGAATTAATCTCTTCAACATATGGAAGATCCACCACTCCTGATAATGAATCTAATTGAAACTAACAGTTTCATTGGTTTTTGTATCGAAGTCAACACATTAGTGAAAATATAATTTGAAAATTGAACAGTTTATTACCACTGTGCTGAAGAATTCGTGAAAATGAATGCTCTTTGTATTAATATGCTAAAAAAGTATATTGTCCACAAGATTAATTGCTTCAGATGGATCTCGTACTTTAAAATAAATAAATTTCTCAAGAGGTTTTCATTCACTTGAATAAATATAAGTTGATGGTTGATTTGCTCAACTAAATCATGTGAACTAGCGATGGATGACCATGATTATTATGAAAAACAAAGTTCTAAAATTTGTACTTGATAAGAATGAGATATTTAATTTATCTGATATGTTATGACAGTCCTTGATCCAATGTCAAATATACTTCTTTTTCTGATCACTAGCAATTTCTAGAACTCTTTTGTTGATAAAAGTATGCACAAGAGATGCATTCACTCACTTGAATATATAAGTGTCTAAACTTGCTCTCTTTTAATGGTACCTTCGGATATGCATCAGAGCTCAAATAAGCACAAGTAAAGTATTTTTTACTAGAAAAACCAAAAAAAAATATAAGTACATGCATATGTTTCCTATATGGAGATGTATCTCAACGTTCTTATTAACTTCTTGCGTTTGACTGCCGAGGTTTCATTAGTTGCGTTTATCACCAAAAGATATTGGAGATCTATTTGCAACGTCAATAGGTAAATAACATATATATATAGATAGTCGAAAGTAAAGCGTTAGAAAAGACGAACTGAGGTGAGTATATTGACTGATGAAATAAGATAACTGTATCATTTTCTGCCTAATAAGTGTAGGTCGCTAAGACTATATTCATCTCGAACGTCATTTTTGTCATTGACACATGTTTCAGTCTGTAAGACTGATTAAAAACGAATTCTTTTTATTTAGGAAAATCAATTGACCATATTTATATGAATCATGTCGAAATATTATGGCGAATTTCTTATTTTACTTCTCATTTATTTGATTACCTGTAACGATGCATCACCATGTATATTTACCCGATATATATATTCAAATGGTTTAAAACAACAATTACAAGTTGAATCGTGGGGTTCTGATAGTATTCGAATACGTTTAAGTCCAGATGTAATTATTCAAAATCCAGATTATCAAGCTTTACTTCCAGAACAACCAATCTTCAATGAAGAAGTTTGTCAACAACCAGATTCAAATACATTTATTCATGGAAATATTAAATTTAACATAAGTGCCGATAATGAAAAATGGTTAATTCAACGTCAATCAGATGGATTAATTCTTATTGAAACAAAATCAATCACATTTTTACCATATAAATATCCACTTTCTATTTATTCCCCAATATATAATCTTTATAGCTTATCATTAATGTATAATCATATTCCAGATGGATATTT